ATGACCGTTCCGTGTTGGATCCTCAAGACAGGTTATTGTTATCAACCATGACCCTGCCCGATAAGAGCACATAACTAAGAAAGTAAGCGCTGGTGTATCCATACACCCGATAACCCGCTGTTCAGTGGTTTGTAGTGATTTTTAATGCGACGTAAAGAACAATTGCAAATCTTTTTGTCAAACAAGACAACTTCGGCTTTAGTATCTTATACAGACCGTATCTTCTACTGCTTTTCCAGATTCTTATCTTTATTAGCCTTTTGTCTTTCCAGCTCGCGTTTTTTCTTGCCTCTTGTTCTTTCCTGCCAAATTTTTTTGCAATGGGCGATGTATGTTTTCAATTTTGCAAAGGTTTTTCCTCTTTTGATACAGCCACATTGTTCTTACGCATGATATTGGACTGGCTTAATGTTTTTGGACTGGTTGGATGACTTGCACGATTGGCTTTGCGTAAGCGATTGAATTTACTAAATTTAGAATTTTTTCATTCATATGCCCTCAAATATTCAACTCTATATTTTTGGTCAGCGACACTGGTGCAGTTTTTATCAAGACGATGACACGTTTTTGCGATATCCTCGGCAAGAAAGCCTTACGTATGTGCTAAGGATACAAGCTCAAGTGCGCCGTTGCACACTAGTTGCCGAAGGAGTAACTCGTACCTCCATGAGTCATACAACTGAGGGTACCCCCTCCAGTTTACCAATAAGTGGGTGTGGCTCTGATGAAGACGTCGCGCTAATAGACACTCGACGTGAAACTGTTGATGACCCAGCTCATTAGTCAGCATTGGCGGGGGTCGGGAACCCATCGATCCATGATCGTTTATTACGACTTTAGCGTCCATATGTACCTCCGGTGCAGTACTATCTGCCTCCTTAGGCCGGGGATATGGGGACAACCACTTGAAGTCCACCGAAGCAGGGTGGAGGTATGGTTTAAGGTAGCCTACGTAGAACACAGGATGTTCTCTCATCTTCTATGTAAGATTCAGCGTATAGGCTAAGCCTTTGTTGCTTATGACCTTGAAAGGTCCAATAAAGAGTGGACGTAGTTTGGTTTCACACACCGCCGAAACGGCACAGATCGGTAAATTTCTAGTGTTTAAGAGAACTTAATTACCCACTTTGAACTCATTCTCATTTTTTCTGCCTTTGGCATCCGCGTGTTCCTTCTGAACATCCTTGCTTTCCGCTATAGCGTCTTTGACGCGACGTAATACGTCAAAACGCGTTTAAGAAACGCTTCCACCTTCTTGTGCATCGCAACAGGACTGATATCAGCCAAGACTTCGGCTATCTCTCCCACACAAAGCCCTGATGTGGCAGGGGGTAGCGTTAACGTGAGGGCTGACCGAACCATTTCATAGAATGGTGTGAAGCCTGTCGAGGCATGCACCACGTTGTTCAGCGCAAACTCTATAAGCGGGAGCATCGTGCTCCATTGCTTGGGCGTTTCAGCACAAACGCTGCAAAGCATATCACCAATAACGCGATCCACGCGTTCAGTCTGACCATCGGTCTGCGGATGATCCGCCGTGGACATGTCCAGTCGAGTGCCCAGCCCTTTAAAGAAGGACGTCCAAAACTTACCCGTTAAACAGGGGTCTCTATCCGAGACGATTGCCACATTCAATCCTTGTTGTCGAAACACACGATCCATGAACAACTTTGCTGTTCTTTCGCCATCAATGGAGTCCGGTACTGCCGCTAACTGAGCCATCTTGCTCAGTCGGTCAACAAAGACCACAATCCCAGTGTTGCCTGCCGCATCACGCGGTAGGCCAAACACAAAGTCCAGACTAATGGACTGCCACAACCCCGAGGGTACAGGCAAACTCGCCAAAGGCGCAGCCATATTAGGCGAGGGCTTCACCCTTCGACACGTTTCACACTGCGTAAGTAGGTGCCAACCCAATTGTACAACTTGGGCCACCAATAATGGGTGCTAACCGAGCTGTAGGTATTCTTACGACCTAAATGACCACCAAGTGGTGTATCATGAGCCTCATAAAGTATCTGATACTTGAGATCCTCATCATGACAGCAGACCATCGCTCAGTGCATAACGATGTAATCTCGCACGATTACGTGGTGACAACTTCACCTTAGAGTTTTCAAACTCTGAGCTATCTTGCGCCTGCAGAATGGCAACACATGCCTCATCACGTCACGGATACGATCCGTTACTGACTAACTCACAACAGTGAGATGAGCAAGCTCATAGTCCGGTCTACGCAATAACGCGTCAGCCAAAACATTCTGTTTTCCCGGCTTATACTTCACCTCAAAGTTATACTCCGCGAAAAAGTAGAGCTAACAATCTATTCTCTGCGAGAGATGAGGCGACTGTGTCGCTGTGCGCAATGACGCATGATCGGTATAGATCACAGACTGCTTTGAGCCCAACAGGTGTACCCTGAACTTAACAAGGGCATACTTCATCGCAAGTAGCTCCTTCTCATGAACTGGATAGTTCTTTATGCAGCTTTCAGCTGGCGAGACTCAAACGCGATGACGCATTCTCGACCCTCAGAGTCGACTTGCAAAAGTGCACTGCCAATGGCAAAGTCCAAAGCGTCACATACGACGCTTAACGGGCGATCAGGATCAGGCAGGGCCAGAATTGGCGCCTGAAGGAGACTCTCCTAATGGCTTCAAAAGCCTCGTGGTGCTCGGTGTTGCAACACCATTCCACATCCTGTTTAAGGCGACTTGACAATGGTCTAGCCACTTCCGCATAGTTGTGGCTATACTTGTGCAAGTAATTTGCCAAACCTAACCACTTGCGGAGGTCCTTTTGGTTCCTCGAAACCGGCCAATCCACTATGGCTTTGACCTTAACAGGGTCTGCCCGGATTCTTCGCTTCCCAATGAAGCATCCCAAAAACGGGAATCTATTCCGCACCAAAGATGCATTTGTCAATATTGGCATATAACTTATGCATCCTCATGCAACCGAGCACAGCTAGCAGGTGCTCGATGTGGTTCTCCACATCAGTCTTGCCATTTTCGGCTCGACTATGGACGAGTATATCGTCAACGTATGTCTGTGCATTCGCCCTATGGGGCCGAAACAACTACGTCACTAGACGAATAAACGTTGCAGGTGCGTGAGACAGACCTTAAAGCGTCACTAACCACTCCCAGAGCATACCGCTTGGAGTGCTGACCGCTGTCAGCGGAATATCACTAGCTCGCATGAGCAGTTGGTAATATCCATCGACTAAGTCGAGGGCAGTGTATATCGTACATCCCACCATATCGTTCTGAAGAACATCCTTGCGAGAAACCGATGTTTAAGCGGGGATAGTGGCTGCATTCAGCTTATTGTAAGCATGCACTATTCGCCACTTCCCATTAGGCTTCCTTACACAAAGCGTGGGCGAAGAGTGAGGGGGGCTTACTCTCACGCACCATGCCAGCCGCGATCTTCGCACGAAAGAACTCATCAATGACGTCGCATTGTTCTCGTGGCAACGGCCACTGTCGCGTCACACAGTACTTGGTTCCTGGAACCAAATAAATCTCATGACGTGGTGCTGAAAGCCTTGGCCGCTTCTTCAACTTTCACCGATGCCGTCTTCTCGCCTTGCCTCTTGATGTGCTCATTTGTAAGCACCCTCACAACGTCTTTTGATCGTAATTCAGCGCTGTTCATCTCACAATTCAGCACGACATTCTCGTTGCTCTTACGGAGACTACGCAAAAAAACAATCGCCACGTCTTCGTCCTCCATCTTGGCGCCGATGCTGGTAAGCTTGGCGCCGGTGTTGAGAACCTCGTTGCAATGATGCATCATTGCCGCCTTCCTTCATCTCCATACTGAAGAGCTAGCGCGTCAGAAAAATGCGCCCAGTCTTCTGCGATCCACCGTAAAGCGTCTTCAAATGCGCCCATGCGACCCATGCTTCCTCACAATCATCAACCACGTGATGATAGTCGGCGTCCATGTGGAGCAACATCAGTTCAAACGAGATGTTGCTCGACCGGACGTAGTCTTCCATGGAACGAGGGTCCGAGAAGGTCGGCGTCGTCTCACGGTTGACGACGTGCCAGACCGACTTGGTCAGGAACACTCCACGCATGTAACGACTCCAAGTCGCGTAGTTGTCCCATCGAACTTATCGATGGAGACCTTGGAAGACACGTCTTGGGCAGTGGACATCGTACTTGGGCTCATAACCGATGGAAGGTATGAGACTTGGTCTTGCAAAGCTTGGTAGGAAGCGAAGGAGTCTGCACTTGAAGGGTGAAGACGACTTGAGCAGAAGATGGTAAATTGGAAAGTGTTTGATTTATCAGAGCTTATTCTATCTACCAACTGATTTATATGTAGTCCACATGTATATCAGTTGCGACTGTTCACGTCCTGATTTATATGTAGTCCACATATAAATCATGTAGATCTTCCTATTAAGCTACTCGTCTAATCAACTATGACGTAATTACCTGTAAGAACTCTGCCGTAAATACTAAGCCTTAGAGTTCGGATTGAGCCGGTAACCAATAATAGAACCATCAAGTGAAGAAGTCAATTGAGAGTAACCGGTATACCGACGGTCTTTGACCGATTCGGGTAACCCCGAACCGGCCCAATACGGTTATGGTAAGATTATACTATAAAGTGCAGAGTGATGGTAATTAGACGAGTAGGTTGATAGGAAAATCTACATGTTGTATATGTGAGCTACATAGAATTCAAGGTGTGAACAGTCGTCTTTAATTATATGTGGACTACATACAAATCAGGCTGTAGTTAGAATAACCTCCGACTAAATCAATCACTTTCGAATCTTCCATTTTCAAAGCAAGTGTCTTTCGCTCCGCTCTCGCTTCGGTATCTTCGTTCCCTTCGGTCTCTCCGCTCCCTCTCTCCTCTTTGCGCTCTCCCTTTAACAGGTGATGAGCATAAGTACCATGTCTTCTGCCGCCCACGCATCCTCCAACGTCTCCATCAATAAATTCGATGGGGACAACTATGCGACTTGGAGTCGATACATGCGTGGTGTGCTTCTCACCAAGTCGGTGTGGCATGTGGTTAACCGGGAGAACTCTCCAGCGTTTATGGAGCCATGGGCGGCGGAAGAATACGTCAAGACGAGCAACATCACGTTTGGTTTGATGTTGCTCCACATGGGTGCGGATTATCACCATGTGGTCGACGACTGTAAGGAAGCGTGGGTTGCGTGGTCACGCCTCAAGTCTTTATACGGTGGATCGCAGAAGACCGGACGGATTGACCTTAAGCGTCAGCTGTCCAGCATGAAGATGGCTGAAGGTGGTAACGTCTTGCATCACTGCACTGATATGTTGAACATCGGCGCCAAGATAGAAGACAAAGAAGACATCGCGATCTGCTTGTCGCTCAGTCTCCCGAAGAGTTTTAAGAACGTGGTTTGAACTTGGAGATGAGCAATGCAGAACTTCGTACCCAAGATGTGGTGAAGGTGCTGACGAATGAGCACGTCAAGCATCAAGGGGAGAAGGTGACGACAACAGCGACTACGGTGAAAGCTGAAGATGCAACCAAGACATTCAGCACCGAGCGTGAGTCTTACTAATGCACGTATTGTGGCGAGGTAGGACACAGAGTGGATCGCTGCTGGACGAAGCAGAAGAATGAAGGTCGAGGAGCCCGACACAGCGGCAATGGCCGTGGACGCGGGTCTAATAATGTCCAGTAGGGACAATATGAGAAGGCAACAGCCACGATTGAGTGGCATTTGCAGATTCTTTGGGTTGTGGAATTTCGACAAACAAGGATGTGTCGGGAATGTGGGCAGTTGATAGTGGTGCAACTCACCATATCTGTCATGACAGAGCTACACTTTCCAGTTTGGCCGTTCGCAATGGTGGCGAAATTTAGTTGCTGATGGTAACAAGGTGGCCATCAAGGGTGTGGGAGCCATCATTGAGAAGGTGGTTCTGCCAAATGGTGAAGAGCGTGAAATTGAGATCAAGAACGCTTTTTATGTGCCCAGCATGAGCAGGAATCTGCTCTCGGTGCCCCAGGTCAACAAGCATGGCAAGTTTCAAGTAGTGTTTGATGGGGCCAGGATGTATGTTGCTCACAAAGACTCACTTTGAGTGGTGGCGGTTGCAGATCTTGTGGATGGAATTTACTGGCTTTGCACGGCACGTCCATTGGCAAATACAGCGACAAGTCAAAAAGGTGCTGACTTGCATGCACGTACGGGTCATGCTCCAGTCGACGTGCTTTGCAAGATGGTCTCCAACAACATGATCAAAGATGTGGGAGTACCTCTCAAGTCAAGTGGATCAGGTAGATGTCGGGGATGTCATCAAGGGAACATGGTCCAAAGCCCATTCCCAAGCAATCGTGACAAGCGAAGTAAGGACACGTTTGAGTTGCTGCACTTCGACATCTGTGGCCCCATGGAGCAAGATTCACTGTGCGGCAGCAAATACCTGCTGTTAATCGTGAATGAGGCGAGTGGATGTATGAAGGGATTCTGCTTACGCATGAAGTCGGAAAGCGGAGCCTGCATTCGGAAGTGTATCACGATGGTGCAGACGCAGTTCGGCAAGAAGGTCAAGTTTGTGCGCCAAGACGGAGCTCGCGAGTTTGCTACGAACTCGCTTCAAGATTTCTACGAGAATGAAGGCATTGAACAACAGACTACGGTGCCGTATGCACACCAGACCAACGGAACAGCAGAGCGCGCCATTCGGATCGTCACGATCGGCCGCAGCATGCTTCACCGTGCCAAGTTGGACAAGTTCTTCTGGGCTGAAGCAGCAATGACGGCCATCTACGTCAAGAATTGCCTACCGTCACCCAAAGTTGTGCACAAGATCCCGTTTGAGATCGTGTACAACTCCAAGCCAAGTGTCAAGCACATGCGAGTATTCGGCTGTCAGACATTTATACTGACTCCGAAGGAGAAGCGACTCAAGTGGGATCCCAAGACTCGTGCTGGAATCTTTTTGGCTACGAAGAAGAATCCAAGCTATAGCGTGTATTTGACATTGAGGCGGGCCAGGTTGTTGTCAATTGGGATGTCAACTTCGACGAGTCAAGTTTTGGACTTTCGCCACCAGTTGAAGATAGCGTCGTCAATGACTTGGATTTTGACTCGCTTGGTCTTGATGATGAAGGTATGCGTCAAATGGAGTATCAGCAAACTGGTAAGCGAAAGAATCGTTCCAGCGATGAAGATGCGGCTGATCGGTCACCACGTACTGTACGTCAACGGCCTGGATTGGACATAACCAGTGAACCAAAGAACGATTCACCACGCCAAGAAGAAGATAAAGAAACAAAAGAATCGGACGAATTGACTCCGCCTGTGTTTTGGCGTGCGAGTGCGAATGCTGTTGAAACAGCAGCGGATTTTTCGGAACCGTCGACATTTGAAGCAGCAGCGACTGGCCCGGATCAAGTGCACTGGCTTAAGGCAATTCATGCGGAGCTCGAGTCAATGCGACTTCGTGGAGTGTTTCGTGCAGCCAAGTTGCCCAACGGACAACGTGCCATTGGTACCAAGTGGGTCTTCAAGATCAAACGTAAAGCGGACAGATCCATCAAGAAGTACAAGGCGCGTCTCGTGGCAAAGGGCTTTCGCTTAAAGTATGGAATCAACTACACGGAGACGTTTTCGTCCGTGGTCAAGTATGTGACCATACGCATAGTTATTGCGGTCGCCAAGCATTTTGGATGGATACTTGACCAATTTGATGTGGTGACTGCCTTTCTTTATGCTGTAATGAAGGAGCATGTCTTTTGTGTGATTCCTGAAGGTGTTGAGGTGGATGATGACTTTGACTGTCTGGAATTGGTGAAGGCATTTTATGGCCTGAAGCTAGCCTCGCGCGTATGGAACGAAACGTTTGACGAGTTTGTGTGTTCCATTGGATTTCAGGTGTCAGGTTTCGACCCATGTCTTTACATCAAGATTATGGAAGACCAGTGCGCATTAATTTTGGTCTATGTGGATGACGTGTTGGTGACAGGAAGCTCACCCGTTGATTGCACGGACTAAGGAAGACCTGAAGACACGCCTTGCGATGACTGATAGCGGCGAGTGTGCATTTGTTCTTGATATCGAGCTTTTGGATGGAGAAGATGGAAGCGTTACAGTATGTCAGCGCAGGTATGTGGATGACCTAATTATTGAGGGTTACCGGTACAATCCAAACTCTCAGGCTTAGTATTTACGGCAGAGTTCTTACAGGTAATTACGTCATAGTTGATTAGACGAGTAGCTTGATAGGAAGATCTACATGATTTATATGTGGACTACATATAAATCAGGACGTGAACAGTCGCGACTGATTTATATGTGGACTACATATAAATCAGTTGGTAGATAGAATAAGCTCTGATAAATCAAACACTTTCCAATTTACCATCTTCTGCTCAAGTCGTCTTCACCCTTCAAGTGCAGACTCCTTCGCTTTCTACCAAGCTTCGCAAGACCAAGTCTCATACCTTCCATCGGTTATGAGCCCAAGTACGATGTCCACTGCTCAAGACGTGTCCTCCAAGATCTCCATCGATAAGTTCGATGGGACAACTACGCGACTTGGAGTCGTTACATGCGTGGAGTGTTCCTGACCAAGTCGGTCTGGCACGTCGTCAACCGCGAGACGACGCCGACCTTCTCGGACCCTCGTTCCATGGAAGACTACGTCCGGTCGAGCAACATCTCGTTTGGACTGATGTTGCTCCACATGGACGCCGACTATCATCACGTGGTTGATGATTGTGAGGAAGCATGGGTCACATGGGCGCATTTGAAGACGCTTTACGGTGGATCGCAGAAGACTGGGCGCATTTTTCTGACGCGCCAGCTCTTCAGTATGGAGATGAAGGAAGGCGGCAATGATGCATCATTGCAACGAGGTTCTCAACATCGGCGCCAAGCTTACCAGCATCGGCGCCAAGATGGAGGACGAAGACGTGGCGATTGTTTTTTTGCGTAGTCTCCGTAAGAGCTACGAGAATGTCGTGCTGAATTGTGAGATGAACAGCGCTGAATTACGATCAAAAGACGTTGTGAGGGTGCTTACAAATGAGCACATCAAGAGGCAAGGCAAGAAGACGGCATCGGTGAAAGTTGAAGAAGCGGCCAAGGCTTTCATCACCGAGCGCGAGCCTCGCCAGTGTACGTACTGCGGAAAATTGGGGCACACGGCAGAGCGGTGCTGGACCAAGCAGAAGGATGAGAATCAAAGTGCTCGACGCGGCGGTAACAACCGAGGACTAGGAGCCAACAATGTGCAGTGGTGAACCAGCAGCAACAACTACGACGACGATTACGATCGAGTACCGTTTGCGATATCGCTGGAAGCAGGACTATCGACGGGCAAGAGCATGCCTGGAATGTGGGCGATTGACAGTGGAGCAACGCACCATGTATGCAACAACAAGGCCAAGTTCACGACGCTGAATGAGCAAGATGAAGGTGAACTGTTGGTGGCTGACGGCAACAAGGCCGCAATCAAGGGTGTGGGAATTATCATCGAACGAGTGGTTTTGCCCAACGGCGAAGAGCGCGACATCGAAATCAATGATGCGTTGTTCGTGCCGAAGATGAACAAGAATCTGCTATCAGTGATCAACAAGTGTAGGGTGGCAAGTTTCAAGTAGTGTTCGACGGTGCGAGTATGCACATAGCGCACAAGAAATCGAAGCAAGCGGTGGCAACGGCGGACCTCGTCGATGGACTTTATTGGCTTCACACGCCACAACGTTCGGCAAATGCAACGACTTCGGCAAACAGTGTGAATCTGCACGCACGTATGGTTCATGCTCCGGTTGATGTGTTGCGCAAGATGGTCAACAGCGGTATGTTCAAGGACGCAAAGGCACCATCGCCGACAACTGACATATGCCATGGATGCCAGCAAGGGAAAATGGTCCAGAAACCGTTCCCGAGCAACCGAGCAAGCGCCGCTATGACACGTTTGAGCTTCTCCACTTTGACATTTGTGGTCCTATGGAGCAAGAAACACTGGGTGGTAGCAAGTATTTGCTCCTCATCGTAGACGAAGCCAGCGGATGCATGAAAGGTTTTTGCCTAAGTACCAAGTCTGAGAGCGAAGAACATCTCAAGACCTACATCAAGATGATGCAGACGCAGTTCAACAAACAAGTCAAGTTCGTTCGTCACGATGGAGCTCGAGAGTTTGCAACTAATTCTCTCAAGGCGTTCTACCAAGACCAAGGTATTGTACAGCAGACCACGGTCCCGTACGCGCATCAAACCAACGGAACAGCAGAGAGAGCAATTTGGACGATTGTCGTAGCATGCTACATCATGCCAAGCTGAACAAGTGTTTCTGGGGTAAAGCGGCAATGGCTGCGATTTACATCAAGAACCGCCTACCGTCACCCAAGATCACGAGCAAGAGACCCTATGAGATCGTGCACAGGTCCAAACCCAGTGTGAAACACATGCGTGTTTTTGAGTGCCGGACGTACGTTTTGACTCCTCAAGAAAAACGACTCAAGTGGGATGTCAAGGCTCGTGCAGGTGTGTTCATGGGATACGAAAGGTATCAAAAGCGTATCGAGTTCACGACATCGAGACAGGACAAGTGGTCATCAGTCGCGATGTCACCGTTGACGAGACGATCGTTGGTATTTCGACTATGAGTGCAAGTGATGACGATGAAGATGCTACGCTAGACTTTATTGGAATTGACATCAGTGATGACAACGTAGGTCCAGTACAGAAACACCACGCTCGGTGCTGAAAGCCTTGGCCGCTTCTTCAGTCTTTCACCGTTGCCGTCTTCTCGCCTTGCCTCTTGATGTGCTCATTCGTAAGCACCCTCACAACGTCTCTTGATTGTAATTCAGCGCTGTTCATCTCCAAATTCAGCACGACATTCTCGTAGCTCTTGGGGAGACTGCGCAACAAACAGATCGCCACGTCTTCGTCCTCCATCTTGGCGCCGATGCTGGTAAGCTTGGCGCTGATGTTGAGAACCTCGTTGCAATGATGCATCACATTGCCGCCTTCCTTCATCTCCATACTGAAGAGCTGGCGCTTCAGAAAAATGCGCCCAGCCTTCTGCGATCCACCGTAAAGCGTCTTCAAACGCGCCCATGCGACCCATGCTTCCTCACAATCATCAACCACGTGATGATAGTCGGCGTCCATGTGGAGCAACATCAGTCCAAACGCGATGTTGCTCGACCTGACGTAATCTTCCATGGGACGAGGGTCCGCGAAGGTCGGCGTCGTCTCACGGTTAACGACGTGCCACGACCGACTTGGTCAGGAACACGCCACGCATGTAACGACTCCAAGTCGCGTAGTTGTCCCCATTCAAACTTATCGATGGAGACCTTGGACGACAGGATCTTGGGCAGTGGACATCGTACTTGGGCTCATAACCTGATTGAATATGATTCTTGCAACTTGGTGGTTAGTGGGGGAAGGAGGGAGCGGAGCGGAAAGACTTTTGCTTAGTTGAATGAAGATTTGAAAGTGATTGATTTAATCGGAGCTTATTCTTACTACTACCTGATTTATATGTAGTCCACATATAAATCAGTTGCCACTGTTCACGACCAATGATTTATATGTAGTCCACATATAAATCAGGTAGATCTTCCAATCAAGCTACTCGTCTAATCAACTATGACGTAATTACCTGTAAGAACTCTGCCGTAAATACTAAGCCTTAGAGTTCGGATTGTACCGGTAACCCTCAATACGCCCCCTCAATGCGAACTCGCATGAATACCGAGTGCAGCCGTCAAGTCCTTGTGACGAGGTCCCGGAAGTGCCTTCGTCAAGATGTCCGCGAGCATGATGGAAGTCTCACAATGCTCAAGCTCCACTTCACCACGCTTGACTTCATCACGGATGTGATGGTACTTGATGTCGATGTGTTTTGCACGACCATGGTTGACGGGATTCTTCGTCATCTTGATGCAGGACTGGTTGTCTTCGAGAATCTTCAGTCCAGGTGCCGACTTGTTTGACGCTGCTAGAATTTCGATCAGCAGTCGGTGAACCCACTTGCCTTCTTGGATCGCTAAGCTGAGTGCAATGTACTCAGCTTCGCTCGTTGAAAGTGACACACTTGACTGCTTCTTGCTTCCCCAACTGATCGGTGCGCTCATCAACAAAAACGCATATCCCGAAGTTGACTTGCGTTCGGAATGGTCTCCAGCCCAGTCCGCATCAGAGTATCCACGAAAATCAACTTCTTCACCAGGCTTGAAACAAATTCCATGTGACGTGGTCCCTTGCAGATAGCGCAAAATACGCTTCACTGCAATCCAGTGCTCGACTTGGGGGTTTTCCATGAAACGCGATACGTACCCCACAGCAAAAGCTATGTCTGGGCGTGTTGCGGTCGTCAGATGCATGAGCGCCCCCACAGCTTCTCGAAATGGAGCGCTTACCTTGGTCAATGCATCGCTTCGAGTCAGTCGAGTGCTCACATCAGCTGGGCTTATTGTAGCCTTGCAGTCTTCCATCCCAAAGCGCTTCAGAATGTCATCCACATAGCGTCGCTGGCACATCGTCACGCTATTGTCAGCGTTTTTGACCAGTTCTATGCCCAACACAAAAGCACACTTGCCACTGTCGGTCATCTCGAAGCGCGTCTTGAGGTCGCTCTTGGTACACGCAATGAGTTCCGTCGAGCTCCCAGTCACCAGCACATCGTCCACGTAGACCAGCAACAGTACGCAGTGACCATCCACAATCTTGATGTAGAGGCACGGATCATAGGCCGAAACTTGAAAGTCGATGGAGCAAACAAACTCGTCGAAGGTCTCGTTCCATACACGAGAAGCTTGCTTGAGACCGTAGATTGCCTTCACCAACTCGAGGCAGTTGAAGTCTCCGTCCAATTCGACGCCTTCTGGAACCGCGCAGTACACCGTTTCTTTCATCACACCATAGAGAAAAGCTGTGACCACGTCAAGTTGGTCAAGAGGCCAGCCAAAGTACTTGGTAATCGCGACCACCATGCGCAGCGTCACATACTTGACCACTGGTGAGAATGTCTCCGTGTAGTCGATGCCGTACTTCTGCTTGAAGCCCTTGGCCACAAGTCGTGCCTTGTACTTCTCGATTGAAGCGTCCGCTTCTTCGCTTGATCTTGAACACCCACTTGGTTCCAATAGCTGGTTGTCCTTTTGGCAATACAGCCGCACAAAATACTCCACGAAGTTGCATCGACTTGAGCTCTGCGTTGATTGCTTCACGCCAGTGAACTTTGTCGGGTCCATTCACCGCGTCTTGAAATGTCGTTGGCTCTGACAGATCACTCACTTCAACTGCGTTGGCACTTGCTCGCCAGAACATTGGAGGAGTCGAGTCGCTATCTTCATCATCATGGTTGTCCTTTTTCTTCTTCTTCTGACAGATCAGGTCCAGCATGCATGCCTGGTCGACTCTTCACTTGGCGCCGAAATGCACGATCAGGAGCACTTGCTTCTTCAAGGCTAGCACCATGATGAGCTGGACGCGAGTAGGCATCCTTGCTGTTGGCGTCACTCGAACGGTCCTTGCGTTTTCCAGTCTGCTGGTACTGTGATGGACCTCCGTTGTCATCACTGATGTCGAGTCCACTGAAGTCCAGCGTAGCATCTTTATCGTCATCACTTGCACTCATAGTCGAAATACCAACGATCGTCTCGTCAAAGGTGACATCGCGACTGATGACCACTTGTCCTGTCTCGATGTCGTAAACTCGATACGCTTTTGATACCTCTTCGTATCCCATGAACACACCTGCACGAGCCTTGGCATCCCACTTGAGTCGTTTTTCTTGAGGAGTCAAAACGTACGTCCGGCACCCAAAAACACGCATGTGTTTCACACTGGGTTTGGACCTGTGCACGATCTCATAGGGTGTCTTGCTCGTGATCTTGGGTGACGGTAGGCGGTTCTTGATGTAAATCGCAGCCATTGCCGCTTCACCCCAGAAACACTTGTTCAGCTTGGCATGATGTAGCATGCTACGACCAATCGTGACCAATCGTCCGAATTGCTCTCTCTGCTGTTCCGTTGGTTTGATGCGCGTACGGGACCGTGGTCTGCTGCTCAATACCTTGGTCTTGGTAGAACGCCTTGAGAGAGTTGGTTGCAAACTCTCGAGCTCCATCGTGACGCACGAACTTGACTTGCTTGTTGAACTGCGTCTGCACCATCTTGATGTAGGTCTTGAGATGTTCTTCGCTCTCAGACTTGGCACTTAGGCAAAAACCTTTCATGCATCCGCTGGCTTCGTCCACGATGAGGAGCAAATACTTGCTACCACCCAGTGTTTCTTGCTCCATAGGACCACAAATGTCGAAGTGGAGAAGCTCAAACGTGTCATAGCGGCGCTTGTCACGGTTGCTCGGGAACGGTTTCTGGACCATTTTCCCTTGCTGGCATCCGTGGCATATGCCAGTTGTCGGCGATGGTGCCTTTGCGTCCTTGATCATACCGCTGTTGACCATCTTGCGCAACACATCAACCGGAGCATGGCCCATTCGTGCGTGCAGATTCACACTGTTTGCCGAAGTTGTTGCATTTGCCGAACGTTGTGGCGTGCGAAGCCAGTAAAGTCCATCGACGAGGTCCGCCGTTGCCACCGCTTGCTTCGATTTCTTGTGCGCTATGTGCATACTCGCACCGTCGAACACCACTTGAAACTTGCCACCCTCTTGTTGATCTGCGGCACCGATAGCAGATTCTTGTTCATCTTCGGCACGAACAACGCATCCTTGATTTTGATGTCGCGCTCTTCGCCGTTGGGCAGAACCACTCGTTCGATGATGGTTCCCACACCCTTGATTGCGGCCTTGTTGCCGTCAGCCACCAACAGTTCACCTTCATCTTGCTCATTCAGCGTCGTGAACTTGGCCTTGTTGTTGCATACATGGTGCGTTGCTCCACTGTCAATCAATCGCCCACATTCCAGGCATGCTCTTGCCCGTCGATAGTCCTGCTTCCAGCGAAACCGCAAACGCTACTCGATCGTAATCGTCGTCGTAGTTGTTGCTGCTGGTTCGCCACTGCACATTGTTGGCTCCGCGTCCTCGGTTGTTACCGCCGCGTCGAGCACCTTGATTCTCATCCTTCTGCTTGGTCCAGCACCGCTCTGCCGTGTGCCCCAATTTTCCGCAGTACGTACACTGGCGAGGCTCGCGCTCGGTGCTGAAAGCCTTGGCCGCTTCTTCAACTTTCACCGATGCCGTCTTCTCGCCTTGCCTCTTGATGTGCTCATTCGTAAGCACCCTCACAACGTCTCTTGATCGTAATTCAGCGCTGTTCATCTCCAAATTCAGCACGACATTCTCGTAGCTCTTGGGGAGACTGCGCAACAAACAGATCGCCACGTCTTCGTCCTCCATCTTGGCGCCGATGCTGGTAAGCTTGGCGCTGATGTTGAGAACCTCGTTGCAATGATGCATCACATTGCCGCCTTCCTTCATCTCCATACTGAAGAGCTGGCGCTTCAGAAAAATGCGCCCAGCCTTCTGCGATCCACCGTAAAGCGTCTTCAAACGCGCCCATGCGACCCATGCTTCCTCACAATCATCAACCACGTGATGATAGTCGGCGTCCATGTGGAGCAACATCAGTCCAAACGCGATGTTGCTCGACCTGACGTAATCTTCCATGGGACGAGGGTCCG